TATAATTTTATTTTTTTGTTGTTGTGAAAATTCTCTTTGGCTCTCCACTCCTCTCTCCCTCCAATGCTGTAAACCCTAATGGTGTGATTTTATACATTATAAACCTTGGTATATTAAAAGCACATCTCTTAGATTCTGGACACAAAGGTGATTATTGTGTTATCAGCTGGCTATTTTTTTAACGGTTGCCTGTTGTTTGTGTAAGACAGTACTTGTACACACACACACGTAACACGTACTTATTTTCAAGTAGATTATTGTACAGAAACAGATTAGGCTACTTTTCCAAGTGCTCGATCTAGCTTTCTTTCTGAGTGCTAACGTCGGGTCACCAACGCCACCACGTCACCCTGCCAGGCTGAAATGTTGACGGGTTTTTTTTGGTCTTTTCTTTTCTCAGGGTTTCCGAAGACAGCACAAATTCTCAGGACAAAGGGGACACAATCCAGAGCTCGTCGTCAGCCGGGGGAGGAGTAGTCGCCCCTGCCACGGCCTCGTCCGCTCTTGACAAACTCCCCAGCACGCCACTAGAGCTGCAGCGGAGTCGACCAAGAGAGAGGCTCAGCAAGAAGAAGTTTGGACAGAAGTTTGAGAAGTAAGAGAGGGAGAGGACGAGGGAGGTGAAGGGAGAGGACACGGGAGAGGGGTGGGAGTGGGGGGGAGCGTAGTTTGTTGAAATGTGTTACTGTAGGTTTTTTGTGTGTGCATGCATGTTGGTTATGTGTGTGTGTGTATCTGTATGTATGAGAGAGAGAGAGAGAGACAGACAGACATAATATGGAGGGAAGAAATATGGTTAAGGGCTGGATGATAAATAGAACAGTAAATATATTAAGACATTTTCAATTACTTCAGATTCTTTGTGTTTATCATATATTGCATAATTTCTATACAAGATGCATTAGCCCCCACTGATAAGGCCAGATAATCTCAGAAGAGCAAATCTTACAGATGGGAAAAACATGGTTTCATCATGCACCAAACTGACTGTGGGCTTTTTTCTAATGTTTGGAACATATGTCCAGTAAAAATTCGAACGTGTCTTGGACAGAGCATAATGAAATGGATAGTTGACCATAGATATATCTTAAATTTTAAAAAAGCAATAAATGGTGATTTAGCTGATCTCATTACAAGGGCGCCAGTGGGTCTGAGAATTACTAGATTTTATTCTGGTAGTCTCTTGGTACAACTGTTTACCCATGAGCTATTGTGGAAATGCTATACTTTTTGCTCATTTATTGCTTCTGTACACAACTGGGTTGTTTGATGGTCCATGGTCATGGCTTCATCACTTCATTACTTCATCGATGGGCTGTATTAAGCTTTCTATGTAAAGGCTGTTTCTTTGAAGTTACTGAGGAAATGCATGATGTAAAGCTAATTTTTGGGACCTTGTGACAGAATTTCGTCTTAATAACTATGAAGTACCCAAACTAAACAATTTAATTGTTATCGTTATGTTATCACAGAATTGGGTCTCCTTAAGTCTGTGAAATGACTGAAAATGCTTGACCTAACACACTGGTTGTTGTATTTTACCAGAACTGGGTCGTTTGGTCGTCATGGCACCACCACGTCGATGCGCTGCCTGGAGGCGACTCGCTCCCAGTCTGAGGCCCAGGCTGCTGCTGCTGCTGCTGCGGCCGCTTCATCGGGCCACCCGGCCACCCCCTCAGCCTCCTCCTCCTCTGGTGGTGGTGGGCCGGGTTCGGGCCTGGGCTGCCTGAACCCCATCATCGTCAGCGACACCAAGGAAGGGGCCAAGGATAGCCGCGAGGCCTCAAGGTCACGGCCCCACTCGGTAGCCTCGCCCAGCAGCAGGCACAGCGGGGGAGGGGCGGTGATCAAGAAGCTGTCCAACTCACAGTCACGCTCGGCTAGCCCTAGTCGCTCCAGATCACGGGGGTCTCGATCGAGTAGTAGCCATAGCGACTCCACCGGTACTAGCAGGTCCACGTCTCCTCACAGAAGGTGAGTTGAGTAAGAGGTTGCATAAAGAATGAATGATCAGTTGTGAGATTTAAAAAATCTGGTCAGACGAGTGTTGTGTTGTCTTAAAGGTGTTTACCTGTTACCAGTTTGCACAGAAGGAATGTGCATGTCACATCTTGAGCTGTGAACAGTGTCTTGTCAGTGTGCGCAGTCACAGGTTCATATGTAAGGGGGGACACACACACACGCACATATACACGCGCCGTACACTCACACGCAGTCTTGAGATAATAACAGTAAGTGTTGCTTTGGCAGCGGAGTTTTGAGCATGTGACATTATTTCTTGTCCCCACCTTCTCACATATGTTCAGAGTGTCAAAGGGGTCGTTGACTCCTCCTTCAAGTCAGAACATTCCGGTTAAATTTGACTTGTCAGAACTGTGCGGTGTTGTTCACAGTTTTTGTAAAGGGTCTGCTGTGGGGTTGACAGCTTTTCTCTTTTTTTATCTCTATTTGCTGTGGTTGACCTATTTTCCGTAGTGCTCAATCAAATCAAGTCTAATCAGCTGTGGTGTGAGCTTTGTCAGGCTTTGTAAGGGCTGAAGCCGGAAGGTGTGAAGTTACCGTGTTGCAAGTGCATTAAGACGAAAACAGTGTCTGTACTTTTATAGAAAGCATTTTTTGATCAGCGTCTTTGGTGTAAGGATTAGGTTCTGGGGGTCGGTCTGATTATTATTTCTGAATGGGAAATCGGGGTCTTATTTTATGGATTATGTCTCGTCTTTGTGCTGGGATGCGGTATCCTCCTTCTGGCATCTGTTGATGCTGGCATAAAACATGTATGCTTTCTTCATGTTTCTGTATTTGTTTTAATGTACAGTTGAACCTGCTCTAAAAGCCACCTGTATAAGACAATTCCCTGAACAAATGGCCACTTCTCATTTCTCTCCTTGCATTGTGTTAACATTATAATGACAATGTGTAAGACGTCCCCCTGTCTAAGAATGGTGCTTTTAAACCCCAGGGAATAGGTGACCTGCTGAGACAGCTTGGACTGTTGTGTTTTAGCGTTGTTTTTCCCACCTTTTGTGCATGGACAAGGCTCTGTGTGACTGACTCGTGGTTGATTTTGTTTTGTTTTTTAAATAATTTTTTCCTTCATTCCCCCCCCCCCCCATTATTCACAGCCATGGTAGCTGCAACGCTCGACCACAGTCCATGGTTGGAGCCTCACGACTGGTGACCAGTGAGGCAAAGGACAGAAGGGATGGGGATGACGGGGACAGGAGACCACTGGGGATTTGTGTCACAGGATTGCCAGTTAGGTCTACAGGTGAGATGAAGAGATACTTGGGCAGGGAGCACCAGCGCTTTGCTTGTGATAAATTATTGTGCAATGTTTGTTAAGAAAAATTGGAGGGATGTTTTGAAATTGAAATATGGGAAGGTAGAATAAAACTCCCACCTTTGTTGATCCTCCTACCGAAATTTGGTTTCAGTACTCTTACATAAATACCAAAGTAAATAGATGTCGTGATTCTTAAAGGTTACATATGACATAACATCACAATAGACAGACGATCTTCCATATATATGCCAGTCATAGTTTCAACTGTGTTGTTCCCAGTTTTTTGTAGTTTATGGTTATCGTGTCTAGCTTAAGGATGACCACCTACCTACTTAAATGCCGGGTCACTGACAACTAGGATCCATGTGCCTCTCAACTTCTGTTCTCCACAGACTCCAGCTTGCGAGACGGTCTCTACCACGAGTACAAGAAGCATGGGAAAGTGACAACTGTACAGGTCTTTGGCGATGGAGAGAACAGATATGCTGTGGTCAGCTTCAGAAAGTGAGTGACCACTATTTGTAAATTTATATAGTAAAAGTACCGATTTTCCATATAAATCTGGATCTCTGGAATTATTTGAATATTGCACTGTATATATATTTAAAAAAAGAAAGGAGGGCCCACCCACCCCCAAAAAACAACCAAAAAAACCTGCGAAATATATATATGGATTGATAACAAAGAAGGATGTGAATGTGCTTTCAGTTTTGGTCTGGAAATATCTGGATATTTCACTGTGTATATTTTTTAAAAAAAAAGGCTATAAACAGGTTCTGTTTTGTGTCACCATGTTTAGTTGTTTGTGTGTGTGTGTGTGTGTGTGTGTGTGTGTGTGTGTGTGTGTGCGCGCGCGCGTGCGTGCGTGTGTGTGTGTGGGTGGGTGCGCAAGGAAAAGCATCCTAGTACCCTTTATTGGCAAGATTATAGATGTTGCTTCTTGACTGATGAAGGTGTTTTATGTTGTTTCTCTGCTCGAATTTATTTTTAGAACTGTCATTGGTTTGTGTCGAATTATGAATCGTTCAGTTTTTGTTCTTCTAAATGGGAAAGGGAATTGATAGTTACGATGGTGGTTTAGTCCACCTCTAGTCTGCTGTGCTAATGGATAAACAGTGCAGCTTTTTTTGTTTCCAAGTCCCCCTTATGTCTTACTATCTTGCCTTTCTTTTTCTTGTGCTTTCACGCACTATGGTTTTCTTTTCTTTGCTGTGTTGTTTCGATCTGTCTGTCCGTCTCACTTTTTCCATGCACTCAATGACCGTTGTTGTATTTAATGTGTTTTGCAGTACACAAACCAAACAAAAATCTTTTCACAACAGACTAGATAAATCTTGTGGCCTTCATTCAGAGCTTTTATGCATTTGGTGTTTTCTTTGTGTGCAGACCTGAGGATGCCAGTAAAGCGTTGGAAGCGTCACAAGGGAAGACATTCTTTGGTGCAAAGATTAAAGTCAACTCCCACGAGGGTGTGGGTAAGTAGCATGTATATGGCACACCTGTAACTTGTATATGATTATGAAAGTCCAGGTCATATTATTTTTTATTGTTGTTTTAGTTGATAATTGTTTGGAGAAATAAGTTATGGAGCACAAAATGTCATATGAAATGTGAAGGGCAGTGTTTATTGAGGTTTTCTCAGCTAGAGGGCAATAAGACATTCCTCGCAATTGTAATTGTACTTATATTTATTTCAACCCAGGTCTGTCTAGTGTAATGGTTAGAATATCACAAGAAGTGTCTCTCATTACTTCACTATTGTTTTTTAAAATGTACTTCCGTTTTACAACCAGGCTGGTTTTTTTTAAACTGTAGGCTTGCTTCTCAATTTTTTCCAGATGATTGGAGAGTGCCAGGTGTAGGCCTTACTTCTGTGCTATCCCTCTTCTGTGATCCCCCCATCATACACTAATTGACTGTTATTTTGTACACTAATTGACTGTTATTTTGTCAAATGTACTTCTTTACTTCTTTTTACTCAAGTGTTGTTTAATGTTTCCCTGTGCTTAATCTTCAAGAACTATATCTAAAGTTGGAGATGTTTTTGGGTGACCAAATTGTGTTAGTAGAGCTAATAGAGAGCTAATAGACCAATACTCAAGACTGACAAAACCCTGATGGTTGGCGGGTGGTCTGGTGTGGTTTGCTCCATCTCTCCTATGAAACATCTATCATCCCTATTTCTCTTCTTCCCTTTTTTTTTAGCGTGTGTTTGTTACTAAAGGTCTCTCTTGTTTCTCCTTTTATCTTCGGCACTTATATGCCCTAATTGTGCTGCAAGTGCCGTGGAACTCTTCCTAAAACCAAACAGACAGACAACCATTTCCCAGGGTTGACAATTCTGTAGTCTTTGATTTTTTTTTACAATTTTGACCCCAGCATCCCAATTCTGTAACATAACATTGGTTTCCCCTTTTGTTTTCCCCATTGCCAGAAGTGGACGATCCTGACCGGCTGAACGATAACGACAGTATGGACGAGTACCACGTGAAGTCAACGCGCACGCTGTTTGTGGGAAACTTGGAGAAGGAGACCACCAAGCAGGATCTCATTGATAAATTCAAGCAGTTTGGCAAGATCATTGTAAGTCATGGGGGATGGGTCTGGGCTGATGCTAACTGGAGTGTGATGGCTGCTCATTGAGCTAGTTTGAGATCCTTCATTCAGTGGAAATTTTGAACTATTTCAGTTGCACAACTTGTCGCTTTAGTACCACCGGCTTCTGTTGTGTGGCGGTTTGGTGCTGTCTTGTTCATGGCATCACTTTTCGCCCGATTCTGTTACTTTTAGTACGTGTGACTCAGCAGCCCGCCGGAGCTCCCTGGCTCGGGGGTCACGCGGTTAATGAGCCCTGAGGCGACTTTGCCGGTGTTGGTTAAGAAGTTCGCATTTTTGGCTACGTTTGAAACGCTATAACTTCTTCCCCATCCCACACAGCAAACCATTGCATTGGTGTACTAAAAGCTCATTGTCTTGAGATTTATTCTGCATTAGAATGATTCATTTCTGTGCCTTAGTTTTTGTTCTAGACAAGTGTTTGTAGAGTACCCAATTTGTCCTATTTTAGCTTCAAACTTATGAGTAAATGATTGCTTAAACTTAAAACGGCACAACAGATCTCTCCAAAATCTGTGTTCAACTGACTACGAATATCTTGTCTTTGACCATGAGAAATTTTTAATCTGCGCAAGTAGTAATAGTCAAGTTACAAGAAAGAAAGATGCACATCTGCGTTTTTTATCTAAAGACACTCAGCATTGGCTCTTGTTTTACCATTAAACAAGAGAAAGTTACTCTGCGTTTGTTCATGAATCATGATGTGTCTGCGGCAGCTTGCATACAACTAAGAAAGATATATTATGCGATTTTTTAATAACACAAAACTGTGTTATTGCGAGGGTAGAGATAAACATCTTGTACGGAATAATGACAGCTAGCTAACACTTTCATTCATAGTTTTTGTGTCGGAAATATGCGCTGACACTTATGAATATAAAGAAATTAGAACATTGTCAGCCTAGAAACGGAAATAAAAGCTGGAAATGTCTGGTGTTGATTCAGTGTCTCTGGAAAGCTGGAAATTATTCTGAAGTCTCAGTTACGAGAAGTCATCCCTGCTATTCAGTCCACTTACAAAAACTAGACGTAGCGTTTTAAGAAAAGTAAGGGATTTCTGGAGTGTAACACTAACAGATACTGTTCGTGTATTACATCGTAGATGTATTCTGGCATTAAAATCGATTTGTATTACTACATAGAGAGACTACAGGGTAATTTTTATAAACTTTCATGAAAATATGCGAATATTCACAATTATATTAGACACATAAATTTGTGGAGGAATTACTTCATAGCGAATTGTGTGCCAGATTGATAAAGTGGATTATATGCGCAGATACCATCTTTTCTGAGTATCTGCACCAATGTTATGTTGTTCATGTTCGAAACATTCGACAGTGTTTGTCGTGCCGTATTTTTTATATTGATTTTTTTTCAATCGCATTTGTTAAATTTATTTTTACTATTTAGCATTGTCGACTTCAGTACGTCTAACAAAATTACCAGAATAGTTACAAGTCCGTTCTTTTTTGAGTCTCAAGAGCAGAAATCCATGCTTTGGGTGCATCAAATGATAATTACCATAAATACAAGGATACACCTAAAATTGTACGTTGAAAAGTACCGAAAATCAAGTCAGCCCAGACAGAGTGGCGATAGGGAGCTGACCCTTGTGACCCCGATGTTATAAGGGCCTTGGAAGGGAACTCACACACACCCACCCCTCGCTGCAACTAAAATTGCACTGCCGGTGCGCCGTGTGTTGCACGCCTGCCTCCAAAATGATCCAAATAATGTCAATGATGGCGTTTAACATCTGCAATCACTATTTTCACATTGGCTCCTCTCTTTATTCAATTGAGCTAGAAATTATGGAAAATTGGGCAAGGTCAGAACAGAACAAATAATCATGATAGTGACCATAACACCCGTGATAAGAAAACTTTGTTCACCATGAGGTTTTTTTTTACTGTTGGAAGATTTTTCTGCTTGATATATAGTTGTGGTCAGCCAAGCGTTAAATGTCTAGACCAAGAGAAAAAGTTCAATATTAACTCCTGTGATGTTACCCTGATTTATTATGGCTATGATCTGATAATAGCAAGGGTACATATTGAGAAAGAAAGCAGAAATTCATAAGTTAACTACAAGCAATGTTGTACCAAGCCACCTGTGATTTTTTTTTTCTCTCGCATGTCCAGAGGAGCATTATCAGCATTTATAAATTAAAAAGACTATAGTGTCGTGGTAATACGTCTGAATCATTAATTGTATTTTGTAAACATGAAATCATCACTGTCTTTGGAAAAAGTAGCAAAAATAAAAGTGTAGCCAATATCCATCCCCTGGTCAAGCTGGCCTTGTCTGTCCCTTTTTTGTCCCCTGTGTCTGTTGCCAACGGCAACAGTTCTGTTGTAGATCGTGACCAGCATCGCCCAAAGTAAAGTCAATTTGTGGCAGCTGTGAAATGTGTGACCAACAGGTCTCCAGTGATGGTTATCCCCCCCTTCCCCCTGACTGAAGTGTGTAAGTTGGCTTCCTTGTTGGTCAGTGGTCACTGATTCAGTTTCCACCTTGCTCTAAGGAAATAGAGGGCTGTGTGGGCTCTGTGAATATATTACAGCTGAAGCTGTTTGCAGCTCACTGACTAGGTCTGCTTAACTTATATCTGAAAGTACAGTAGTCTATTTCCCGTCCGCCAAAGTTATTTGCCTTGCCAGAAATAGATTTGCCTGTTGGGGAGGGTGGTGTTAAGAGGTAGTTGTATTTTCATTAGCTCCTGAAACCTGTGTGAGTGGAGTGTGCTGGCATTTTAATTCAACACAAAAGGAAAGAAATGGATCACATATTTTATTGAAACTCCTTAAAAATTAAAATTTGGAGTTAAAAAATTATATTTTTTTGGTCATTGTTAGATAAAAACAGCTAATGCTCTTCTGAGTTTGTCAGACCTACAAAGTTGCAAGTGCTGTAAGACCTCAGTCAAACCATCCCAAACCAACAAAAACCTCACTTTGTCAGGGCTTAGTTTGTGAAACTAATTAACACTTACAGTACCACAGGATCATATAGTGAAAAACTCTTGAGTACCGCACCAATTTAGAAGCCAACAAAATAATTAGGGTTCGTTACAAAAGAATTCATGGAAACAAAAGTCATTGACAGAATTACATGAAATTTTCAAGATATATTCAGAAATAAATGTATATATATACAGAAAAGCCTTTTTTGCAACAAAGAGACATGAAAAAACTCCCAATCTGTTTGGAGAGGGTGGACACGCCCACCTGAATTTCTATCACCTGTAGGCCTGGACCTACCAACATTACCTATTGAGGGTCCTGGCTCACCAGTACTTGATCTAACGCACGAAAAAAACAAAAACGACGAGCTGGAACTGGATCATTTATAAATCTGTCTATGTCACTGTCAGGCTCTACATTAGACAAATTGTCAAGATAAGACCAACTGTCGTCACTACAATCACTTAGCTCTTCGCCTGAATCAGAGGCATAGCGATCTGAGAACGCTGAAGCCATGGTAGAACAAAAAATGTAAGAAACCCCCAAAAAACTCCATCACAGCTCAAGAAATGCGCTGAAAACATTCGCAGCGTTACATCAACGATTCAGTTATCACATAGAGTGATTTCCCTTGGTATTTACTTCCGTGGAGATGTTACGTTAGTTGTTTAGTGTGCCTGGTTGAGTTGGCGCTGGCAACGGTACTGAGCAGAAATTATGGAACTGTAAGTGTTAATCCCCACCATTGTTCTCTACCATTTATCTCAGGATGTGGACATCAAGAGACAAGGGGCAACCACAGCGTTTGCCTTCGTGCAGTATGTGGATATTGTGAGCGTTGTTTCTGCCCTCAAGGCTATGGAAGGAAAGCACATTGGTATCAACAAGATCAAGGTGAGTGACACACTATTGTTCTTTGTGTAATGCTAGGCTGAGCGAGCCTTATCACACATTTGGTTGAATCATTACAAACATTAAAAAAAAAATGCAGATACAATTGTTACTTCCCTGATTCCAGTTTTTAAAAATTATGCGTGGTTCGGCTACCCCAACCCACCCCCTCACTCTAACAGCACATTAGGAAGAAAAATAATCCAGACCATGACAATATATTATTTATATCTTAAGGTCGCAATTTCTGTGTACTGTACAGAGCTCTTGTTATCCATCAGTGCCACTTTGTAGGACAGCATTAGCCACGTCAAAGACAGAAGTAAGGCACTGCTAGAAAATTCATGTCCTTTGTATACTGGGTGATGGCCATGCTAGTTTATGTTTTATTTGTTGATTACTAAAACATGGGCTGGTGGGTGGGCAACCCTGGATTTGGTTAGGCTCTTTGCCGTTGTGTATAGAAGACATGGATATGAATCTTGGGTGAGTATGTTTTTTTCTCTCTCTTTTAAATGGATTATCTGTCTCCTGATGAAACTATCATGTCTACTATTAAACAATTTAGAATTAATTTAATACTAGCTTTAACTCTATGTGATAATTTATTTTCCACAATCTCTCTTTGTTTATTTTTGTGTTTGTTACTGTTTACTGTTTTGAAACATCTCTAATCTTTGACATGTATGTGACCAAATTGTGTTGCAAGTACCGTAAAATGCTTACCAAAACAATGAAACAGGAGACGTACTTTTGATTTCTGTTGCGACAGCTATTTTGATAAACATCTTGTCTATCTGCTGTGGTGTTGTGTTGTGTCCCGTTTAGCTCACTTTGTCCTTGACAGGCAGAGGTAAAGTAGCCTGCCTTTATGACCTAAATTGTGTTGATGGGGATGTAAAACCTTTACAAGTACAAGCAATAGTTCTTTGAATGTGCTAAACATTTACTGTCCTCATTCATGTTCCTCGTGGCAGCTTGGCTTTGGCAAGAGCATGCCCACGTGCTGTGTGTGGGTAGACAATCTGCCGGTGGACACGACCACACGCTGCCTCAAGAACCCCATGTCACGCTTCGGGGAGGTCACGCACTGCTATGTGGACCGAGACCACAGCAAGGGCCTCGTCTACTTCACATCCTATGAGGACGCCCAGCACTGTGTCAGCAACTATAAGATCCGGCCACATTTGATGAAGAAGAAGCTCCAGGTGATTGTTTGTTGATTCCAGTTTCTGTGCCATGTATGACTGTGTGGGTGGTTAAAAGGCTCCACTGGTAGATCCTATGTTATTTCTTCCGCTCTGTTTCTTCTTTCTATCTTACTTTTACCCAGCACTTAATGTCCATTTTTTTTCTCAAACAACAAACAAGCAAGCTTGTGGTTGTGCTAGGTGACTGTGATTGTTTGTTGTTGACACATCGCGACCTCAGTGCTTTCTTGTCCTATCTCCATTTTTAATAACAGTGAAAACAGTTCATAACAAAGAGTCAGTGTAAGTAGAAGTCACATTTTCATTGTTAAAAAAAAATGGAGATAGGACAAGAAAGCACTGAGGTCCAAGATATAACTGCTGAAATGTGTTTGCTCACAGAAAGATTTTTTCACCACTTGAATGTCAGTACTAAGGTTGAACTTACTCAGGTATTCTATAGCAGAATGCTGATCAGGGTTATAGTGTTTCTGGTCCATAAGTGTAATGGTTAGGCTATTGACTCACACACAGACAATGTGAATTGGATTTCCATATGGGTAGGTTTTTAAAAAAAAATCAAACATTCCCATATTTCCTCTCAGCTCGGGTTTACCCTGACAGGTTGAAGCAGTCTGCTGCCTGACTGACCCAAATGGTGTGAATGGCTGTGTAATTCATTTACAACTACAGTTCAATTTTCACACTAGTTGTCCATAGCCTTATGCAAGTCAGATTTTCATTCTTATTTCTCTCAATCAATCACTAAGTGTTGGTTTATTCCTTTGCTTTTTAGATTGATTTTGCCAGTAGAGAATGTCAGCTGGAGTTCCTTGACCGCATGGAAGAGAGTGGTCAACTGCGGCCTGGAGAGCGGCCGGATGAGAGCAGAGGACACAAATTCAGACCACAGAGAAGCTTTGACAGTTACCAAGATGACGGGTACTTGCTTTTTAAATTCCTGCTTGATTAATTTTGGTGTAGCTCCTTTGAAGAGTATAGTCTCAGGTAGACTATCTGGCAAATTGTCTTTCTGTACAATGTGACGATTGTATATGTTTTTTGTTTTAATATTACAATGCGTATTATATATATATTTACATTTTAGCTCCTTTTCTGATAGTTTATACAAATATTAACCTGTTTTCTTGTTGCTGCGTATATGCCATCTATTCTACCATCATGGGTGATAGGGTGTCACTTGTAGATCCTACTTCCATTTTTTTTTCTGTGTATCTTTATTTTGTACCTGCGTTAAAAGAATTCTATTGTCAATCTTTACTTGGACAAATAGCCCTTTTTTTCCCCTTTATTGAAAAGAAACAAAACTTAAAAAATAACGTTTCCCTGTACCCAGGAGCCCAACGACAACAACAACCTATGGCTACAGTTCACGCAGCCAGTCTGGGTTCCCGCATAACGGGCGCAGTAGCAGCAGCAACTACCGTAGCCGTGGGAGACAGTACGGGGAGGCCGGCTACACTGAGGACAACAACTACTCCACCAGCTCTCGGCGCTCTAGGTGAGGAAAGAGGGTCTTGCACTGCTTAACAGCTTAGGGTTGGCGGTTGTACACGACTTGTCCTGAATTTAGGGCAGCAGCAAAAAAGTTTTTAACAAAAGTTCTGAAGTTTTGCATCATGTCGTGATCTGATGTGAAGTACACCCTTGTAGCACTTTGCTTCCTCTCCGTGACTCTCATCAGACCGTTTATTTCTAGCACAACATATAGAGCTGGAAGCTAATAGTTAATGGATTAGCTCTAGCAGGCACAATTGAAACAACCCCTCTCTTTCCAACCCCAACCCCCACTTCCTGAATAATTTAAGTTACGTCGATGGCGTTGAAAAAGATTTACCATTTTATATGTCCCAGCTGCTACTGAACTTACTGCTACAAAACATCCTCCTCTTTTGTGGGTAGTTTGAGGAAGCTAGTGATAAGTTCTACTTCTTACCACTCTTTTCTTCCATTGATTTTTGTCTTTCGAGCTTTTTTCCCTGTGCTAAATGGCGGTCATTGTGATGATGTGCTTCTCTTTACTTGAAATCTTCTCTGCAGCTGATCTTTTTTTCTGCAGCACGACATGGATGTTATGATTTTGATGTGTTGCTCTATACTCTATGGTGACCCTTTTCTCTTGTCTTAAATGGCCATAATTGTTTGGATGTTGTTTAGACGAGCTTCTCTCTACTTAAAAAAAATTCTTTGTAAAGGCAACCAGTTGTTTCTGTTTACCTTTCATTTTTCCCCTGACTGTTTCATGGATAATCTGCTTTTGTACTTAATGACTCTTTGCTGTTGTTGCAGGCGGCCGGAGGAGTTCAGCCAGCCCTACTACAGCAGCAAAACGAGCGGTGATGACTACGACCAGGTGCTGCGGGAGTACGGCCACAGTCAGCGGGAGCGACGGGAAAGAGACCTCAGCCCGCGTCGCTCCCAGGACCACCCATCCCGCAGGGGCTCCCGGGACCGCTCGCTGGACCGACGGATTGAGGGCCAGTCTCGCCGCAGCTCTCGGGACCGTTCCCTAGAGCGCTACGAGGACCGGCTGCGGGACCGGCCGCTGGACCCATACAACAGCCGGGACGGCAGCCCCAACAGCGAGCACAACTCATACCGCTCTGACAGTCGGTACCGCTCTGGCCGTGGGGAGGACAAGTACTTGCCCAGGGACCGTTTTGACGATCGCAAGTCGGAGGATAAGGACTTTGGTCATCACAGCCGCACGGCGTCCCCGCTCTACCACAATCAGGGCAGCCTGCACAGTCAGGGCTCTCGCTCCAGGTCCAACTCGCCCCCTACCCCGACACAGGAAGACACTCCCATGCACAGAATGTTCTACTCTGATGACTACAAGCGTTCAGTGGTCACAGACGATGATTATGACACATACCCCACCAATGCTCAGAAACGCAGAGACTTGGACGATCTGACGGGCAGCAAGCCTCGTACTGCGTGGCCGCCTCTGTCCTCCAAACTGGGGGCGGAGGTTGCCAAAACGGCGGCGGAGAAAAGCCGCAAGCGCTCCCACGAGGAGTCCGGTCTCTCGGGCAGTGGTAAGCCCGACCCCAAGCTGCTGAGCAGAAAACACGACAAAATTCCCCCGCCTTCATCGTCGGCATCACTGCTAGAGCTGGAGAAACAAAGGCATCTGGGGCGTGTGTCGGCCAAAAGTCGACATCTGGATCATTCTGGAAGCCCGGGCTCATCCGGTAGCCATGGTGACTCTGAAGTGGGTTCTGTCCCTGAGGGAGATCTGCAGCACCTCCACCAGGAGAAGCAGCAGCTCCTGAAGGAACTCAATAAGCTGGAGATGGAGGACACGCCCACCAGCGACCCTGACTCACCTCGGTCACCCGCCAAAGTGAAGTCCATTGCCATCATGGACACGGGCTCATGGCATCTCGGCCGGGACGAGCGGAAGCGTGATGGGTGGAAGCGTGACGAGTATTCCAACAGGTCGTCTGCGACTGCCGCTCATAGGAAAAGCTTTGATAAACGACGCTCTGACCTTAGACATGAGGGTAGTCGCAACCATTTCAGTGGTGAGGATATCAGTGCCACACGAGAAGACAGGAGCCCGTCGAATGAGAGAGACGAGTCGAACGCTGGGGACAGTGACCTGGATTACGGTTCAGATTTCAAACGGAGTAAAAAGCGGCGGTTGGATAATAATGATTCTTTGGTTCATATCAGGAGTTACGATAGACAGGGCAGTGTGTTAGGCAGTGACGAGGAAGATGAGAGTAAGAAGTACGGTTTGCGACTGTTACCCTCCTCGCTGGGAGACAAGTCTAGTGATGGGAGGAGCAATGCCGTCAACTCGAGACACTACCACTACGACGGCAAATCTCTGGCTCTATCTTCCCCATGTGATAATGAACTCTACAAAAGCAGGTTAAGTGATAAGGATTTATCTGTGATAAAACAACAGCGATCGTCCTCCTCCAAGTCTATTAGCCAGTTCTCCGGCAAGGAGTTGACCTCCGACTTCTCCGCTCACAAGTCGTCGACGGACGTCTACTTCAGCCCGGCCATCAGCGAGGAACACACTCAGGATTCTGTGACTTCTGGGAGTTACACAGAGAAGAGTTCCAAACATTTGTCTCCTCTTCCATGGCAGCATTCCCCCGGGGCGTCTCCCAGCAGAAAGGAGTCTGTGTCGGACAATGAGTTCTATGGCAGTGTGGGTAATAGTCCCCAGCTGCCTGACGACAATCTGTCAGACGACAGTCTCACGGAGCCCCTGCAAGCCCCTGGAGAGCGGACCTATGAGGAGCGGATTCGTGCTATTGATGAAATCCTCAACCAGCCTGTTTCGAAGAGCTCTGTGGACTCGCTACGCCTGTCCTCTGGGTTAGGGAACAGGGACATCACCAACAACAATGAGAGTAGTAGCCCGAGCTTTTCCAACAAAAAGACGAAGACGGAACCGTCGGTCATCATGCAGCAGATGCTGTCCAAAAAGAGCATCTTGGACCAAGACTTCAAACGCCTCGAGCAGATGAATAAGACGGAAGCTGAAGGTGGGAAAGAGATCGTCATTGGTATCTTGCCGGTTCCCTCTGTCAAATCAGAAGCCATTTCCCCGAACACCCTCTGTCCACGAATGGGGGACGTAAAACCTGATTGGAGTGCCAAGTCATGGCCGCTTCGTAACATTTCCCCTTCGTCGTTGTCGGACCCGTTTTCAGTGAGTAGTGTGTGTAGTAGTGGTGTTCAACCAGTGACCACGTGTTCCTCAATGCTGCAGCCCACGATCACCACCACTGTGGCCGGCCTGGGCGCACTAGCTACTCCTGCAAGCACCAGTGTCTTCTCAGCGCCGGTTGTGACCTGTGTCCAGACCAGTCACAGCTCGGGGCTCAGCTCGTCACAGGTGAACGCTCTTGGTGGCCCTATCTCGGGCGCTGGTTTAGTAACGACTTTGGACTATTCAGGGGCCAATAGACTTAGTAACACAAGTTTATCATCATCATCATCGTCGTTGTTTGTGAAACAGGAAGTGTCCTCGTTACCCATGTCATCCTCAGTGTCCATGATGTCTTCGCCCTCTGTGTTATCATCTTCCTCGTCTTTTCCCTCATGTGTGTCCTCGTCGGAAGCAATGGTGGGAGTTGCTGTGTCAGCAGCTGCAGCAACAACAACAGCAGCAACGGCAACCTGTGCCATAGTGACCACGCAGCACCATCAGCAGCACACGGGCAGGGGTGGGCATGAGTCAAAATCTGTCATTTCTTCCCTGCCCCTGCCACCGTCGTTACTTGCTCAACAAAACACGTCATCCACCCTGTCTGCGTCCTCCAGTTCGTCTCCTTGTAAGTCGCATCTCTCTCTGTCCTCCACCCTGACCAGCTCCTCCATGTCCTCGAGCGGTGTATCACCTCATCCATCGTCGTCATTGTCTGCGTCGTTTTCTTCTTCATCACATCAACAGAACACGACGTCATCATCATCAACACATCACACAGCGTCTGCGTCGTCCTCATCGCTATTGTTACTCTCACCTCAACCGTCTGCCTCAGGGAACCAGTCTGCCAATGGTTCCTCTGCGGCAGCTCCCTTCACACATGGACCAAGCAAATCGCAGCTCATGCCAACTGTAGGCCAAGAGGCACCCAGCGTGCTCTCTCCTTCCTTCCTTCCGGAAAATTCTCGGACGGAAGTCTCCAACCTGCCGGGTAGTGTTTCAGGAAAAGATTGCGCTTCGACCAACAGGACAGCAGCGTCTGCAGCAGGACTAGCGTCAGCTGGGGTTGGCCTCAAAGGTGAAGAAATGTTGGCGGAGAAAGACAAAGATTCAGGTAGTGATGGTTGTTCCAAGGCTAATCTCAAGGAGGAGCGGAAAAGTGACACCTCCTCTGTTCCGTTATCCTCGTCATCGTCGATATCACCTGGGGAGGAGTTACTGTCATCCTCTTCGTCCAGTAACTCTGCGTCTCGGTCTTCCTCTCAGCTCACTCCCGGCAGCAGTAGTAGCGGGAAGGTCAGTTCCCCACACCCTGGGGCTAGTTCTCTGACTGTTTGCTCTGCCGCCGTCAAGCCGCCCAGTATTGAAGCCTCGGAGGACAAGTTGAAAAGTCTCTCCAACTCTGAACTGCTCTCCAAAGCTGCTATGGTGGAGGTGTCCACAGATAAATCGACAGTTTCGGATGCCTCTAGCAATGTGGTTTCGCTGAAGACGACGGATAAGACAGAGACCTCGGATTTGTTATCAGGTTCCAAAAAGACTGATCTGTCCCCTCCGGTGACCACTCAGACAGTGTTGAGTGTGAGCAATAGAGAGAGCTCTCAGAGCAAAGACTTTCACAATGGAGAGGATGTTACCAGTGGAGCTGGGAAAGGCTCCAGCAAGTCTGTTTCTTCTGTAGGAGCGGAGGTGGATACCACAACAGCTCAACTAGCAGCCTCATCCTCATCTTCATCCACTTCCTCCTCATTCTCTAAGCCTTTGCTTATGTCCTCCTCGTCCTCGTCCTCCTCCTCCTCTCAAGCAGCAGCATCTTCATCCTCATCATCATCAACGACTTCTTCCTGGGCAGGCGCCCCCAACAACACAACAGCATCTACTGTGGGGGGCAGGGGAGTGGGAGACAAAAAGTCCAGCAAGTCCAGCTCCCACAACAAAAGCTCGAGCAACGCCAGCAAGTCGGAACCTCTCTTCACCCCAGACCCAAAATCCTCGGACAACAACAGCAGCAACAGCAGTAGCAGCAAGCAGGGGAGTCACCACAGCCGCGACACTCACGATGGCAAGCACAAGAGCTCTTCCCAAAGCCGACAGTCCAGCAGTAGTGTGGACAGGAAGTCGCCCAAACCGGCCAGTCGAGAGAACCACGACAAGAAAGAGCATGACCGAGCAGACAAAAAGTCATCGGAGGCCAACAGCCACAAGAGTAAGGATGGAGAGAAGAGTAAAGTGAAGGAGAGGAGGGATCAGAGCAAAGACGGGGACAAGAACAAAGTCAAGAAAGAGGAGGAGTCCAAGAAGAAAGAGGAAAAGAAGGCTGTGGAGAAGAAAGAAGAAAAGAAAAGTTCTGTGAAAGAGGAAAAGAAAGATAAAAATGCGGATGGGAAGAAGGAGAAAAATGCTGAAAAGGAGAAAGAAAAATCTAAGGATGCCAGCAAGTCGGCCTCTTCAGGGAAAAATGCAAAGGTGGAGAGTGATTCAGGGAAGAAAGATAATAAGAAGTCAAAGGAGAAGAGCAAAGAATCGCAGAAAGATAAAGAGAAAAGTGGGGAGAAGAAGCTTCTCTCGGGCCTGTCATGCTTAACAAAACATTCCACTCCTGAGCCAGCATCCAAGCAGGCAAAGTCAGAGCAGCGCATTTCGTCAGAGAGCAAGTCGAGCAGTAAAGCGGACAGTGCGAAAGAGGCGTCAAAAAACGAGAAAGAAGGGCCGGGGGACGGCAAAGCTCCTGACACGCCAGTCAAAAGTGAGCAGAAAGTTTCTAAAAGCGACTCGTCCAAGCACAAAGGGGATAGTAAGTCGGCCAAGAATGCGGCAGATAGCAGCAGCAAGTCGGAGGTGTCCTCAAGTAGCAGCGCTGGGAAAAAATCTGAGGGTTCCTCAGGGAAGAGCAAGAACAAAGAGGGAGAGAAGGAAAGCTTTTCTAAGTCCAGCAGTAGCAAAGAGAAGCAGCAAAAACTCAAACAGAGGGAGGAGGAGAAACAGAAGGAGAGACAAAGGTTGAAAGAGGAGAGGGAAAAGCAGAAAGAAAAAGAGGAAAAGGAGCGTAAAGAGCAAGAGGAAAAGGAGAAGCAGAAAGAGCGCGAGGAGAAGGAAAGACTTGAACGGGAGAGAAAGGAGAGGGAAGAGGAAGAGCGTTTGAAAAAGGAGAAGGAAGAACGAGAAAGGCTGAAATTGGAAAAAGAAGAGAGAGAACGCAAAGAAAAAGAGAGGGAAGAGAGAGAACGCAAGGAAAAAGAAAGGGAAGAGAGAGAGCGAAAGGAACGGGAAAAAGAGGAAAAGGAAAGGAAGGAGAGAGAAGAGAAAGAAAGACTCAAGAAGGAGAAGGAGGAAAAGGAAAGACAGAAGCAGAAAGAACGAGAGGAGAGGGAAGCTCAGAAGGAAAAAGAACGACAGGAGAAGGAAAGAGAGAGGCAAGAAAAGGAAAAGGAACGCCAAGAAAAAGAAAAGGAGAGGCAAGAGAAAGAAAGGAAAGAACGTGAAGACAAGGAAAAACAAAAGGAAAAGGAGAGGAAAGAGAAAGAGAAGAAAGAAAAAGAGAAAAAGGAGAAAGAAAAGAAAGAAAAGGAGAGAAAAGAGAAAGAAAGAAAGGCCAAAGAAGAAAAGATGAAGAAAGAAAAAGAGGAGAAAGCCAAAAAGGAAAAGGAGGAGAAGCTCAAAAAGGAGAAAGAAAAGAAAGAAAAGGAAAAAGAGAAGAAAGAAAAGGAAAAGGAGAGGGATAAAGAGAAGGATAGGGATAAAGAGAAAGAAGACAAGAAAGAAAAAGAGGAGAGGAGGGAGAAAGAAAAAGAGGAGAGGAGGGAGAAAGAAAAAGAGGAGAGGAGGGAGAAAGAAAAAGAGAGGGACAAAGACCGGGATTCAGAAGATAAGAAAAAACCTCCTCCCAAGAAGCCCAAACGTAATGAGTTGGCAGCATTGTTAGACAGCAACGATAAGTTCCAGATGACCTTCACCTCCATGTATGATCGGGTAAAGACCCAGCGCAATCGGGAGCCCGACAGCAAGTCGGAGCCAGCTCCCAAATCGTCCTTTGACAAATTCAAACAGAATCGACACAAGAAAGGTAGCAAAGCGAAGTCCTCGCTCTATTCATTTGACAGCACCTCTGACAACAGCGAAGACAATGCCAGCGATCTCTCTGAGTCCGAGTCGAGTCAGAAAGCGGAATCAGTGAAAGAGACGAAGCCCGTGAAGACGAAGTCAATCAAGAAAAGGCCCCACGTGTCCTCATCTTCTTCCTCCTCGTGTGAAGATGATGATGATGCCCTGCTTAGAGCCACCAAGCCCAAAGGAAAGCCTACTGGAAAGTTCAATCAGATTTATGCGTCTTCAGACTCGGAGGAGGAGAGTTTCCAGAGTCCGTCGTCTAAGTCGCGATCTGCTGGCAAGTCTAAGGGCAAACCCACACCTAAGCGCAGGAAAACGAGAGACGACTCGACAGATTCTATGGCCTCACGAGACGACTTTGTCAAACCTCAGACGTTGTCAAGTGTAACTGAGCCAGACAGTATGGATGATATCGATCTGTCTGAAGAAGAAGAGGCGCCCAAAGTGAGCAAAGTGAAGAAGAGGAAAGCCCAGAAGTCTGGTGATGGGGAGAAGAGAGATTCCTCCATTGAGTCTGTGAGGAAAGTTGGGAAAGTAGAGGTGGATTCATCTGTGGAGTCATCATCTAAGAAACCTGCCAAGACGGAAAAGAAATCAAAAGGAGAAGCCACTAAAAAAGGCTCGGAAGTGAAAGAAGAGTCAAAAGTTACAACTGATGAGAAAAAGAAAAAGTCTGATCCTGAAAAGGTTGAGGGTAATAAGAAAGAAAGCAAAGTAGACAATGAGAAAGTAAAGGCTTCGAAAACAGAGGATGATTCTGAAAAGGCGGAAGATAAGAAGAAAAAGAAAGAGGACAGCTCATCAAAGAAGAAGAAGAAAAAGAAGTATGATCCTAAAGAGGAAGAAGAGCTAGTCAACTCTCTGATTACTAAAGTTTATGACAAGATGGATAAAGACAAGAAGCAGAAGAAGAAAAAAGTCAACATTTTTGACAGCGAGTCGGAGGATCTGGCAGGCTCAGAGACAGGCATGGATGTCAGTGCTTCCTCCTCGGCTGAAGACAAAGTGGTGAAAGAGGTCAAGCTGGAGACTGTGGAAAAAGTGAAGGAATCAAAACCAGAAACAGCTGAACCTGTCAAAAGTAAAAACAAAGACAAGGATGCTAAGTCTGAGAAAGCTGTTGAGTCGAAACATGTGTCAAAGAAGCAAGAAGGGAAGAAGAAGGATCAGGAAAAGAAAGACCAAGAGAGGAAAGAAGTGGAAAAAAAGGAACAACTGGAGAAGAAGGAGAATGAGAGAAAGGAGAACGAGAAAAAGGAGAACGAGAGAAAGGAGAATGAGAAGAAGGAGAGTGAGAAGAAGGAGAGTGAGAAGAAGGAGAGTGAGAAGAAGGAGAGTGAGAAGAAGGAGAGTGAGAAGAAAGATCAGCACAAAGATGGTGTCAGTGAGAAGAAGCTGGAGCACACCCGAAAAGATCATGCAGACAAAAAAGACAAGGCTGAAGCTAGTTTGGAGATCAAAGGGGAGAAAGAAGTGAAGGCTGAAGTGCAGGCAGAGGAGACGCACAGCAAACAGCCCAAGAAGAAAAAGAAGAAGAAGGAGCTGGAAAAGGTTCAAGAGAAAGAAAAGTTTCCAGAGGGGAAGAATAAGAAGAAGAGTGCCAGTGAGAAGAAACTGGAGCCTGCACCGTCATCAGCTGTTGAGAAGAAGTCTGAGGTGGTTAGTGGAGGAGAGAAGCAGGCTGCAGATGATTCCAACAAGTCTCAGCCAGCCCCAGCACAGGAGAAAGCAGATCTTGATGAGTTTACCAGTTTCTGGGGGCACCCCAAGCCCATTCTCATCCCTAAAAGGTTTAGAGAGACGAAGAAGAGTGACGACAAGAAAAGTGATGACGACAAGCTGAAAGAAAAGAGCAGTGAGGAGTCCACCTCATTGAAGGGGGACCAGAAATCTGATGGATCTGATGAAGGTGCCAAAGTCAAGGAAGAGGTTGAGGAAAATGACAGCAAGAAGTCAGTTGGGGACGAGACACAGAACCACCAGCTGTCTGATCTCTCACCCAGTGCGGTCAAGACACCTGACTCTGCAGCCACACCTAAAGTGGAGTCGGATGCAGGCGATGACCTGGTCATACCGATTTCTGAGGCGGAGACGACCGTCATCACAGAGATTGCCCCTCCAGCTTCCAGCGATTCCGTCGTGTCCTTGATAGAGTCCGTCAGTGCTGCAGAGGAAGGAGCAAGTGAGGACATGAGTTTGGTGCCAGACGAGACCACCATTGGTTCCTCAGTGGAAATCAACGACGACGACGACTTCCCATCCTCTCTAGTCATCGATGAAGTCTCTGACTCCGGCCTGTCTGAAAAGAAAAAGATGACCAAGAAGGAAAAGAAGTTGCTGAAAAAGCAGCAAGAGAAAGAGAAATATGACAGGGTGGACGAGATCATCGCTCAAGTGGCAGCTGCTGAATCCAGTGAGGATGAGGAGAGTGGTGGTGGAGGTCTGAAGAGTAGTCCTGTTAGCCTTCTTATTGATTCGGCTAGCAATGACCAGGAGCTGCTGCTGGAAGATGTGATCAACCAACAGCTCAAATATGACAGTAAACCCTCCAGCGAGTCTGGATCCTCTGAGAAACCCTTTACTGAGAGGGAGAACAAGAAGAGTGGCCATCTTTCCTCCTCCTTCTCTGGGAAAGACGTCAAAGAGAAGAAGGATGCCATTTTGAGTCCCACTAGCAAGAAAGACTGGGAGAAAAAGAAAGATACTCACAAGTATTTTGATTTGTTGGATGAAGAGACTAAGAAGAAGGATGAAGAGCAGCTCAAACTGCTGGAGGATGTTTTGTCAATTGACAAGCCTGTTACAGAAGAAAAGAAACTTTCAAAGGAAGAGCTGAAGAAGAAGGAGGAGGAGGAGAAACGAAAAGCAGAGGAGGAGAAGAAGAAAGCAGAAGAGGAAGAAAAGGCTCGTAAAGAGAAAGAGGAACAGGCAATGAGAGAAGCGTCGGATGAGGCAGAGAGAGCTGTCGGCTATCTTTTGGAATTTCAGCGAGGATTTGACCAGGACTCCATGGACATGGAAGACGATCTCCCTCCGCTGTTCATTGAGTCTGAGGAGAAGGTGCCCTCGCAGCCCACGCCCATGGAGACCTCTCCGGCCAAGGAGAAGAACGAGCTAGGCGTGTCCATTTTCTCAAGTCCTGTCCCAGAAAAAGTCAGCACGACACTGGAAGACAGCTTGCTACAGAAGGAGGACCTGGATAAGATCGACCTGAACAAGGAGATCCCGCCAGTGTCAGGGCTCGGGATATTGGCCGGCAAGGGTGGTAAGGTAGATCCGTTCAACCTGTTCACGTCTCCCTCCCAGCAGACGTCAGGACAGCCTCCAGCGTCAGCCCCAGCTGCCCCGGCCGGTCCCCCACCCTTTTCTTCGCCGCGACGGAATTCAGTACCTGTTGCTAAGGACAAAACCCCTGAGCCGGCTGCTACCACCATGCAGTCTCCCCTCCGACAGATGCAGTCGCCGCAGAGGCAGCAAGGTCAAGGTCAGTCGCCTCAGCGCCCGGCCCAGTCCCCTCAAAGGCCTTCCCAGTCTCCCCAGAGGCCGATGCAGTCTCCACAAAGGCAGATGCAGTCCCCCCAGAGACAGATGCAGTCCCCGCAGCGACCCATGCAGCAGTCTCCCCAGCAGCCCATACAGCAGTCGCCGCAGCAACAGTCCGTGCAGCAGTCACCGCAGCAGCAGGTACCACAGTCCCCTCAGAGACCAATGCAGTCGCCACAGAGACACATGCAGTCGCCTCAGCGGCAAATGCCTTCACCCCAGAGACAGCCATTCCAGCAGAAGCCGCCTCCACCACACCAGTCCCCGCAAGTCAACATGCAGTCGCCGCAACCTTTGCTACAGTCACCTCAGAGATCCCCATTCTTCTCGGCCAAGGACCGCAGTTTCCTCTCTCCGAACCGGGAACTGCCCCCTTCTGTGGAGCCAGATGTGCCCTCTGTCAATCACATGGGCCCCCAACAACTTCCCCAGTCCAGGCGGTCGTCATTTGGGTTACCTCCCCATGGTCCAGATCCGGTTCCTGACCCTCTGCTGTTGTCAACTCGCCGCAAGTCTCAGGAAATGTCTGTTGAACCCGTGAGCCGATCTCCGAGGAGGAACACAATTGCAGCTCCAGAGGATGTGACGTCGGTGGCAAACCTGGACCGGCCAGGCCAGCATCCTGGTTTAGGCGTGGTCTTCAAGGACCGCCAGCGCGGCCAGTCTCCCCTCCCGCCACCTGTCTCCATCTCTTTGGACAATGCCCTCCACGACAAAAACTTTCAGTCTCCCATGCGCAGCCTGACTATCCCACCCCACCAGGAAAATGTCCTGCCCAACCAAAAGAAAACTCCACCGGCAGGCTTGGGTTTCAAAGACCACACTTCCGAACCACCAGGGTTCCAGTCTCCACCCAATAAAGGCCCCCTGCACGACCCGTTGTTCCACTCCCCCAAGGAACCACTTCAGGAGCAGATGTTTTCACATCAGATCAAATCCCCACCTGACCCGGCACTGCTCACCAATAAAGTCCTTACCCCTGAGCAGCTTTTGGCTTGCAACAGAGTCTCGCTACAGGATAAACTTCTAAGAAGTGGGAAAGGGCCACCACCACCACCCCCACCAGAGTCTCTGTCGGGCTTTGGGAAAGGACCGCCTCCTGTCACGGACAAGGTGCCGTCCATCCCGGGCAGTCATCCTGCACCAGAGTTTCTTCATGGCAAAGTGCTCCCACCAGCAGATGCTACTCCATTCTCATTCACAAAGAGCCTGCAGTCAGACAGCGTGTTTGGTCTCGGCAAGGGCCCTGGCCACCACGAGCCCATGTTCTCCCCTCCCAGGACCAACCAACTGGGATCAGAACCTCCATTCCCTCCGCCTGGCAAAGGTCCATCAGCGGGAAAAGAAGCCATGTTCTCCCCCAAAGGTCTGCTTCACGGCCACCAGGAGAACACAATGAACTACCCCGAGCAGCCCATAGATTTTTTGCTCAACTCCCCACCCAGGAATGCACCAGGTTTCTTCAACAAGACTCAAGGAGGAGTCAAGGCGTCATCAGATGATCCTTTCAACCATGACCCCCTGTTCCAGGTGGTTTCAGAGGCCAGTGGTCGTATCGCAGACCGGGACCCCCCAGCCCCGAGAAGACTAGAGGGTTTCCCTGCCTCGTTCTACCAGGAGCCAACACCATCAAAGCGACTGACGCCCGAATCTCAAGTCAAGTCGCAGCCTCTGTCCTCGGAGGAGGATAAGAAAGGTGCGAAGAAAAAGAGAAGGAATAAGGAGACGAGCAAAGAAGATCGCGCTGCGGCTTTAGCAAAGCAACAGCTCATTGAGGAAAGTGTCTTGGCAAATGTGGAATCGATCCATAAAGCCTACAATGCCAACCAGGCGAGAGCAGCTGCTGAGAAGGCAGGTATTTCTAGTGTGGACAGGAAGAAGTCCATAGATGCTTACGACTTTGATAGTCAGGCAGGACAGGAACCGAACAACCTACCTGGCAGTCTTCCTGGCTTGGACATGCACACACCGTTGTTTGACAGAGAGGTCAAGTCTCGTCGGAATGAGAGAGCGCCCAGAGGCAGAGGAGGCACCGGATCTAAACGAGGCAGAAGGAACCGTGGGGGTGGTCTGGGCCCAGTTCATGATTTACGGGACAACGGGCTGAGGACTGAGCCTGCCTTCCCACTCCAACAACAGCAGCCACCTCAACTGCCCCCACCTCCTCCCCATCTCCAGAATGCGGACCACACTCCGCTGCCTCCACACCAGCAGCCCGGCTACCCCCAGCCTGCCCCCGGTGCTCTGGGCCAGCACCCAGCTCCTATGTTTGGTGGTCCACAGAAGCCTCCCACTTCTCAGCCAGCCTCCTTGGCCCTTATGCAGCCTCAGCAGCAGCAGCAACAACAGCAGCCGTTCCACCCACAGCTGCCAAGACTGCCCGGAGAGAGCAGTGGGAATGCTCCATCTTCGGACAGGCTGCAGAAGCCGCCAGTTCAAATCCCAGCACAGCATTCCCCACAAGTTCAGCAGCAGCCGCCTCCGGTGGTTCCTCCAGCACAGGATGCCCAGCAACACTCAGAACAGCTTCCTCCTTCCAACTCGCTGTCCTCAAAGATGGGCGTGGTCAGCCCTGAAGGCAAGCTGGACCTGGACTCATCCTACGGTGAGCCAGAGCTGGTCATCAACTTGGATGAAGGGCCAGCCAGTCTGGAGGGCAAAGAGAACCAATACACTCAAGGCTCTGACACAGACGATCGCTCGGTTCCCTCCCCTGCCACAGGGGGCAAAACACAGAGGTCGACCCGTGCCAGAAAGGTCAAGGACTATCGGGCGATAGCGGCAGGCACCGCACAAGGACCTGTCCAGCCCAGGGTGTCTCGTTCCGGAAGTTCCCCGAGAGGTCGTGCCCCTGGTGGTCAGTCACCGAAGAGCGGCAACTCTCCCAGAACACGCAGCTCTGAGAACTCTGCCTCCTCCCCCGTGGTGAAGCTAGAGAAGCTGGAGTATGGTCGCGGCACCAGGCGAAGTCGCAGCAGTGCCAAGGAAGAAGGGGAAGAAGAATCCTCCTCCAGTACCTTTGAGGAGTGGAAGGGGGCTAAAAGCCAGCAGCCTGAGCCTCAGCCCAAGTCCAAAGACATCTACAAGTTTGACGACACGGAGCAGGAGCAGCGTGTCCAGCCGACCAGCTTCCGCACCACCAGGGGGCGCAAGAAGAAGGTATTGGAGAACCAGAGCCTGGACGGGGTGGCTCCGCCCGAGCTGCCCCCAGCCTCCCCCGCATCCTCCTCCAACTCGTCAAGTGTGCTGCAGGAGAACGCTGCAGCTGGTGGCCGCCAGGACGGGATAACGCTGCGCTCTGGGGTTCAAGCCCCGAGTTCTCCCTCCACTGCCGAGGAAGAGACGTCCATTCAAGTCTCTGGCACTCCCACGGCAGCAGCAAAGTCGAGCCCGCTCAGCAACATGGACGCTATTATCGATGCTGTCTCAAAGGGCATCTTCGGCGGCAGTGAGGAGGAGAGCACTCCTGAGACTCCTGTGGCTGTAACTGGTGAGTATGGCGCTTTAGCGCTACTGCTTGTGTTTATGGGTTTGTGCAGCCCCCTATAGACATATGGATACGGATAAGTTAGTGGCTGGATGTGCACGCTTAATACAATCATTAAAATTTTAGTGGAGAAGTCATGATCTTTTGACCTCCTCTCAGTATAATGGGAGATTGGTGTCTGGTGTACTAGGTCTGTCTCAGAATAAAGTTTCCCTGTCATGCTGTCCTCACATATAATTATAAATCACCTTGTATTTAGTATCAACAGAAAGTTTATTCAAATACCCATTTAACGTAGCAACCACCAAGTTCAAGACATTTCTCCATTTGATGTGCCCTGCGGTCAAAGACAGTGGTCAGTGATCGTTTGTCCAAGGTCTCGAGTGCTTTTCTCACAGCCTCTTGAATCGGGTCCTCGTCCTCAAATCGCCAACCTCGCAGCATTTCTTTCACCTTGGAGAAGAGGTGGAAGCTGCAAGGGATGAGGTCGGGCGAATAGGACGGGTGTTCCAATAATTCCTAAGAGTAGCCCTTAAAAAGCTCGTTCACAACTCTGGACTTGTGAGCAGTTGCGTTGTCATGATGCAAGATGATGCCTTCTTCAAACAAAGCAGGTCTTTTGTCCGGATCGCAGGTCTCAGCTTGTCTTTGAGGACGAATCTGTAGTAACCGTTTACAGTTACGCCAGGTGTGACCAGCCAGCTCAGTATGATGTCATTCATGTCAAACAAAACCCAATGTGCATCACTTTTCTCTGCCCGTGTTTTCTGTGTGCTCTTCAACTTTCATGTCAGACCTCCCACCTTCAACCTCCTCGATCCATTTCCTTACTGTTTGAATTAATGGAGAATTTTTCCTTATTACTTTGTATAGATCACAATGGGTTTCAGCTGCAGACTTGCCAAGAAGAGTTGAAAATTTGATCACAACTTGGACATCGTAGCATGAGAAGGTTGAAACCAATGTTTTGCTCAGCCATTTTCCTGGAATTTGCCTTGGACAAAGAGCACAAGAACACCACACCTGACACGTCACAGCTCTATGACCCTTTCACTAATGCACTTGCAATTTGGCTTTGAGATTTCTTTGATATGATGTCATGATGTCACAAAATTTAGTGGCTGTTGGTTGCATTGTGTTGATTTTATTGAAGAGGGAAACTTTATTCTGAGACAGACCTCGTAGCAGTTAATCACTTTGCCATCACATGCAGAAGACCTGAGTTCGATTCTCGAATGGGGAAATTTTTACTGGCATATCTCTCTCTACTCAAGTTGGTCCAGACAGGCAGGATGGAACAACCCCTCTCCCCCAGTAATGGATCTAAATTATGTCAATGGGGGTATAAAAACATTTACATTTTTTAAAACAGGCAGTACTTTTTATAACACGAAGTTAACTTATGGTCAATGTCCGTGATAGCCTCTTGGTCTGCCTTGTGTCGTGATAGCCTCTTGGTCTGCCTTGTGTGACGCCATGTCTTTAGATTGTTTTTGCGTGTGTTCAAGAAGACTTCATGTGACAGGTTGTTGGAGGGCTTCTTCGATATGCTATCTCCTCTATGTTTCTGTTTATAAATTACTGTCTACCTTTTCCCCGAACACAGTATGATTACTTTTTTGTGTCAGATCTTATTGTTTATAATATGAACATTAAAAAAAGACTTGACTTATTAAACATTATCACTCTTTTCATTTTCTCAGCGCCGCCTCCAGCTCGACTGACCCGACAGTCAATTGAACTCGTCAAAGAGAGTCTGGAGAAGTCCAACAAGACTGTTTTCCCTGGCTCTGAACCGCAACTGTTTGTTACAAAACTACAGCAGTCTCAGCCGCAACAACAGCAACAGCCACAACAACCTTCAACGCAGCAACAGCAACAACAACGTAAGAACAAGTTAGTAGTGCCACCCCTGAGGATCAAGAAGGAGGAGAAGCATTACGTCATCGAGCAAGGAGGAGAGAAATCTTCCCTGGCCATGACCATCAAGTTGTCGGACAGCGGAACAGCCACCATCAAACCTGTAGGAGGTGGTGGAGGAAGTAGCGCAACGACCACACCCACCACTGGCGCCCTGGAGAAGACGAATGTTCCTGCAGGTCTCAAAGATCCCAAATCGGGAAGTGAGAAACCAGCAGGTGCCCAAGAGCTGGGCTTGTTTTCTGGTGTGGCCGTGGACCCCGAGCCGGTCAAGGTCACGCCTTCGCTGTCGCAGACTCGAAAGTTGGATGAGCTGTCTATGGCGCCGTCTCCTAGCCCGGTCAGCACTGTGCCCCTCCAGGTACAGAAGGGAGGGAAGGAAGGAGGTGTCGGAGCTGTGTCTGTCCCTACACTGGCCCAGACTTCTCTGTCTCAGCCTCCACCGTCCCCTCACTTGCCCATGATGTCCTCGGGGGCTGCCTCCATGACCACAGGTCTGCCGGTCAAATCCTCGGCCGTGAACCCAGCGGGCAGTGGCCCTCAAGCTCTGAAGCAGGTGTGGACGACCCAGCACCAGGAGGCGCTGCAGCGACGGGCCTCCCCCTCCCCCCACCTCCCCCCTCAACACATGGCCAACCCGCCCCAGCTCCCCTCCCCTGGCCTGCTGCACCAGCCACAGCGGCCGCCCAGCTCCCACCAGGAGGCGCCGGGGAAACGCCCGCCCAGCGTGCACGGCCAGCCACCTCTCCGGCCTGGGGAGCGGCAAGGCAAGGGAGGGAAGCATGGAGTTCTGGACATCCCAGCAGATCTGGCGGCCAAGAACCCAGAGACCCAGAAACTTCGGCCTGTAAGTTGTCTGTTTTTCTGGTTTCTGTATTCTGGCTGCATGGAATGATGTCTGTTTTTTTTGTTCATTAAAAAAAATTATTATATAAAAAAGGGGGCATCTGAGTAAAATTCTGTCATATTATTCTATCATGAAGTGTGTAATTTCCAAAATCAATAAGAATGGGGGGAGGGGGGGGGGGTAGTTTCATAATTAGACTAAGTTGCCCACATGAGTACTGCAGACAGCTTTAGTTTTTTCAAGTGAGATTTTGGATTAGGAACTAGTATAATCTCTTATCAAAACATACTTTGGGTTCTCTTGTCATAACTGTTTAAAATGATAGTAATATTGTATTTTAATTGCCTTGATACTGAACATTTTCACCACGAAGAGAGCTTATTGAGTTTCATTAACACCTTTATCTTACATTTGTTCCTTGTTATGAGGGAGAACAGTTAATATGAAAAATGCTCTTATTCAACAAAGCTTGCAGCATGAGAACCAGTATGTTTATAATTGACATAAGGAATAATGACATTTTTTATGGTAGATGGTTGGAGGGTACCATTAGAGGTCGGTCCTTTAAAAAAAATTCTTACCCCTCTATTGTTTTTTGTCTGTTTATCTGTCTGTGTGTCTGTTTGTCTGACTTCCTCTTTCCCTGCTGTAAAGGACAGATATTGATGTCGATGTGCTTTTCCATTCTCAAAACTAACACTTGCGATGCGTTAGTGTCTCTTTAAGCACTCTGTCACTCTCACTGCCTCTAGAGAAATCAGTAATGGTAAAATTTCTTCACAGGGTTTGCCAGTAAGGGGATCAATGGTTCACATGACTCAGAGAAGTGAATTTTTCCTTCAGATGTCGGTTTTTACGGCTTTTATTATGCTTTGTTTGAAAACAATTTTTTTTTATTAAGAAAGTTTTGTTGTTGTAGTTTTTTAAAAATATTTCTGTTTTCAATTTTCAGTTGAATTTGTGTTTGAAAATATGGGGTATTTCTTCCATCTGAAATTCTTGTGTGTTTATGTACTTAGTACATAGTGCCTTATATCTTTGGTCATTTGAAAATTCACTGTTATTGGGAGTTTGAGAAATGTTAGTCCTGAAGATATGTGGCTGATCTCAAAATAAATTACTTTCTTCTGTCTTTAATAGAAGTGAGTTGGTTCAACTTGATGAAGGAAGACCTCAAGTGTGTGGAGGAAAAAAGTATTTCAGAATCAGTGATATCTCTCTCTTCTCTCCCCCCCCCACTTCTTTCAATTAAATGTAAAAGAGATTGCTTTGTATATTCAGATTACGTTGGTTGTCAGCATTTTGACTGAAATTTGCCCTCGTTTTCTGCTTGATATCCGAGTGGCAATGGGAAGTAAGGAAAGATTTATAGGTTGTTTTTTTTCCTCAAGTATAGCGACCATATTGTGTTGCAAGTGCTATAAAACTTTTGTAAACCGTAACCAATTTTTTTAAAAACACCATCATAATATTTGGGTAGTTGTAGGATGCCACTGGGAGGTCCTATTTCTCTTATCTTTCCCTCTGTTCTTTGTTGTTTCCGACATTTTTAACACCCCCTAGCACTAAATGGTCTTACTGTTTTTGAATCGATGTGCTTCTTTTTGCTCAAAACTTGCTTCCTGTGACTCCTTGTGGACTGATAGGTTTTTATGTCTGCCTGTCTTTAATACACTCCCCCCCCCAAAAAAAAATCCTGCTGTCCCTGACCATTATAGGATCAACATGTTTCTCTTCACTCAAACCATCATCCTTATGCAGTTGTGAGCGTTGTAAAACCTCTACTAAAACAAAAACTAAACCATCATCCTATGTCCTATGTCTCTCCTCACAGGGCATGTTTGGCTTTGGTGGCGTGCCCCCAGCTCACTCGAGCCAGAGGCCGTTCATGATGCCTCCCGACCAGCAAGGGGCCCCATCTGGTCCCCCCGGCCACCACCCCATGCACTACCCAGGGCCCACCAGCACTGCCAAGTCCCCGTCCATCCCGCTGATCAAGGCGGGTAACGGAGACGTGCGATCTCGGACACCGCCGGTCACTTCGGCCATGCTGTACGCCGGTGTGGTCTCAGATCCCCCCCACTCACTGTCACCTACCTCGGCTAGTCCAGAAGGCCAGGTATGTCCAAGGCCCCTCTTTAAGATTTCTTAAATTGTTTAATTCTGTCCAACTCTTTTTTTCTACTAATGCACATGATAGTTTTTTTCTTTTCTTGGAAAGCAAAGCAAAGAAAAGAAAGAAAGAAAAAAGGCTTTTTACTGTTGTAGTTGAGCCTTTTGTGACTGTCTATGATTTTCTTTCAATCTGGTGAACAAAATGGTATTCTCAAGATGAAGCACTCGGTTGACAGTAGGTTTAGGACCTATGCTTCTTGAAACAGATTTTTAAAAATGTGTGTCATAGAATATTGCTGTTTTATAAAGAAAGGCCTTATATGCCACGACTTCTTTTCTTTCTCTTTTTTTGTCTATTTGTCTGCCTGCCTCACTTTTCACCTGCACTAAATGATGGTTATTGTGTGGATGTTCTACTCGTTACTCAAACTAAAATATCTTTTCTTACCTTACCTTACCTCACCTTTCAAGTGGTTGGCGGGTGCCCTTGCATGGTTTGCTCCTTCTTTCCTATCAAACATCTATCATCGTTATCTCTCCTCCTTCTTTTTTGTTTATGTTAGGCCCTACTGTCTTGTAACACATTTATTCTTCTTTATTGTGTTGCCGTAAACTCTTACTAAAAATACTAAAACTAAATCTATTCTTCCGCACTTATATGACTTAATTGTGTTGCAAGTGCCGTAAAACTCTTACTAAAACTTACCTTACCTTACCTTACCTTACCCTACTTTACCTTACCTTACCTTACCTTACCTTACCTTACCTTACCTTACCTTACCTTACCTTACCTTACCTTACCTTACCTTACCTTACCTTACCTTACCTTACCTTACCTTACCTTACCTTTCCTTACCTTTCCTTTCCTTTCCTTTCCTTTCCTTTCCTTTCCTTTCCTTTCCTTTCCTTATTTTATCTTATCTTACACACAGCTTGATGTTTTCTGTTTCCAGGTGATTGAGAGACTGCCCAACCCTATGAGACAGGGAGAGCCAGGCCCGTCCTCCTCACCCTTCCGACTGACCACCCCACACCACCAGGACCCCTCACGCTTCATCAAGGGTAAGTTTTTGTTTTATTTATTTGGCAAGGGCAAATATTCTCGCAATGCAAAAGTGAGGGGTTGGAGGGCACCACTGGAAGGTTTCATTCTTTTTTTTTTTCTCTTTTGGTGCCAAAATGTGGTGCCTGCTTAATAAGAGCCTTTTGGTGTGCAGTGAAAGTTTTTAACTCAAATGGATTAAATTCAGACTTTTCGAAGGACTACAGTATGTGAGACAGTTTGATGTTGTGGTGACAAAGATACTTGTTGTGCAAGTGGTTGGAAGGCTCCAATGGTAGGACCTTCTTTTCTTTCCCTCTCTAGTTTTTCTGTTTGTTTTACTCTTTCTTGGCACTGAATGACTGGTAGTTATTCTGTTTCTGTTTGCTCAAATAACAAACTATATCTTCAGATGACCTTGGTCGCGACGGTCACCCCTCTGCCCACGGCGAGCGTCCCGCATCCCATGAGCGGGCCTACCAGCAGATGGTGGAGCACCGCCATCTACAGCACCACCTGCTAGCCCTGGCTCAACACGAGACGGCCCTCTCAGCGGCTGAGGAGGAGTTTGCTCGGAGTGAGGCCAACCGCAACGCAGAAGTGGCCCGCAATCTGGCTGCTGTCCACACGGCAATGAGAGGTCACGAGCCGGCTCGCAGCACCCCTGGAGGTCACGAGGCAGGGAGGAAAGGAGCTCTGCCCGTGTCTTCACAGACTATGGGCCACAACCAGGCCCTGAATCTGTCGGAGACTGACCGCGGCACGCCAAAGTCCACTCCTCCGCAGAGTCCCTTCAGCATGTCCTTCATGGATCGGAAGTCTGAGGCGGGCCGTGGGCTCCCGGCTGGTGTACCTCCCAGCGCCTTCATGCAGCCCAGCCCAGGCGGACACAGACCAGAAGGCCTCCCTCCCCACCTCTACCCACCAGACCTTCCTATCCCAGGCCTACCCCACGGGGCCTTTAGTATGGTCAGCCGTCTGCCCATCGACCCGCGAAGTATCTATGGCCAGGGTCAGCAACCACCCCCGCCCCATATTTTGGCCTCCCACTTCCCGCAGTTTCCACCAGGTGCTAGATTCCCGGGACTGGAACAGCATCTGGGAGAGAAAAAGGCTGAGGTGGAGCCGGGCTCGGTCATGTTACGCTCCCCGTCACCCAGCCCCACGCTGCCGCGACAGATGCAGTCAGATCTCATCCTCCATGGGCGCATGTCGCACGACCACCCAGCCAGAGATAGTCCTGTGGTCATGTTGCAGGTACGAGCTCTAAATTGAATATAGATTGCTGATGCATTCTCTAGTATGTAGGTTTTTGTTTTGGTTTTTTTGCTGCCGAGTTAATAGTTTCTTAAAGTTGTACTTAATGTAGGTATCTTGTCATCCTTTGTGCTTCACTTAAACCATCCTCCACTCAAACAAACTTCCCGTACGTGCACACAGACCCACACAAGAGTAAAAGCTTTGATGTCTCTTGAGTCAATGAGTACCACTTTGCTTCCAGGTGACAGTATACTGTTCCCAGCAAAGTATTTGCAGGTCACTTTATTTTTCCGATAGGAAGAATCAAAATGATGCTCATCATTAATTTTGTTTCTGTCCCCATGTTTCACATTATTCATCGTGACTCTTGAGTCAAAACAATGAACATCATTCATCATATATATATCTTCCATTATGTTTCTCGTCTCACAGAGGTACCCAGTGATGTGGCAAGGCAGCCTCGCCTTGAAGAATGACCAGAGCTACGTGCAGATGCATTTCATTGCAGGCAACCGCCACCTGCCCAAACAGGCCTTGCCGCAGCCCATGCACAACGGTGTGGTGGCGCCGCTGCGCATCAGCCAGAGGATGAGGCTGGAGCAGACACAGCTGGAGGGTGTGGCCAAGCGTATGCAGGTGGGTGGCTGGTGTTGTGCTGTTGGTCATTATGGATTTGACATAGTCTTTGCAATCTTTTTCTTCAGTTTTATACAATGTCATGATTATGCTCATGATTCCAGATTTCTTTTTTGCAGAGCACTGTAAAACTTGCCAAACTGCCATTAGAAAAAGTTTATGCTGTATCTTAATCAGATGGTTGCACGTTCCTGCCTCCTATTTCATAAGTGGCATCTTGTTATTAAGTATCTAGCATACTTGGTAAGTGGTGGTTAAAGGTTACTTTTGTTAGGTTGTATTTCTTTACTCTCCCTTTTGTTAGCAGTCTTACCTTTTCTCAACCTCACTGGTGATGCTGAACCTGGCTAGTTTCATATGTATTTTCACTGAACCCTTTGAGTGTGTTGATTGGAATGGATGGATGGGGACTTACACATGCATGTATGCAGAGAGAGAGAGAGAGGAGTGTACATTTTGACTTCCACTTCAACAAAACCCCTGAGATTGACGTACCAAGTCTCTGGGGTTCAAGAGAACCCAGGTTAAGAACCATTGCACTAAGTGATCGTTATTTTGTCAATATTGTTTCTCCTTACACACCAATGTGCCTTATTTTGTCCCAGTGTGAGGACGACTACTGCATCCTGATTGCCGTGGCCTGCGGGCGCGACCAGATGGACCTCAACAAACAGACACGTGCCCTGAACGAGGGATTCATCACCTACCTGAACACCAAGCAGGCTGCTGGCATTGTCAATGTCCCGCTTCCTGGCTCAGAACAAGTAAGTAGCACAACCTGTCTTCTGGACTGCTCAACCGCTACTTAAGTCTGATTGGTTTATCTGAGGGTGGAGTGGAGGATTGGCTTTGAGTTTGTGGTGGTTGGGAGGGGTGGTTGGCCCAGGCAAATTTTTTTTTTCTTTGTGCAATTCATTTTTGCAAATTTCCCCAGTTGAGATTCTGTGGGAACAAAATGTGCTTGGGGGGGGGCATGTATTAAGGTCATCTTCAATTGTCCATTGCATAAAAGTCGAATGCACTGAAAAATCCTATTCTTGATTTGGCTTGAAAAAGTACATGATATGGTTTACAGGTGAAATTAGCAGTTGTATTTTATCAATAATTTACACCCATTTTCACACTACTGAGAACTGATTAGGTCATATAGAAGTTTTAACGGATGCATTCTCTCTGCTTGTCGTGCAGGCTGGTTTCGTGGTGCACATCTTCCCTCCGTGTGAGTTTGTGGACAACTCTGTGGCGCAGCAGGGCAGTGTGGCCCTCATGGAACAGCTGAGAGAGCACCCACATGCCGTGGTTATCATTGCCACCACATAGACAACATCGCGGCTGTGAGGAGCACTCGTGTACACGACTATCATGGCTACCGTCAGACGAAGGATAGATACGTCTTCGTGTCCCTTCAGCACCGAGTCTGGACCACATCAAGGCTTAGGAGGATAATCATCGACAGATGTAACAGGCTGCAAGGCTGTATGCATCCTCGAGGAGCAAGGTGGCTGTCATAGGATGGTCGGAGAAGCTTTATTGTTGTGTCCTTCGAGGCACCAGTGGAGTGGAAATAAGCGGTTTTATCAATCAACACTCTGACTTGAGCAAAAGAAAGGGAATTTCAGAGTGACGACAACACAAGTTCCTGGTTTTAACATCTCGCAGACACGCACAGATTCAGAGACGTGCTGCTGGTCTCACAGTGAAACTTTCCCACCTGTGCTAAGTTTAGTCTGATCTCTGCAACAATGAGTTCAGACCAAAGTGTTGAGCCAGCAAGGCGGCACTACCCCTATCTTGATCTTTTCCCCCCCCCAAGTATTAATGAGAAGTCTGGGACAAGCAATGTGTCACTACAAGTCTCTTACGTTGCACCTTCTGCCCATGAATAAGACCCCTACCCTGCAACCCTTCCCTCCTCCCCTGTGTAAAAAAATTAACAAGAACAACTCCACTCGTCGAACAAGCAAGCACTCCGGTAACTCCTACATCAGCAGCTCCTGTCGCAAACCTGTAAAAAATCTGAGGGTGGCCTACCGCCTCTCTCAGGACAAAATGTGCCCCGTTCCCCCCATGATGCAGCTACCACAAGAAGTCTCCTCTTCAGACATGGGCACGTTTGTCCTTGGCTCCATGCCATCAGTACAGCACCCTGTGGTGGTGGCGGCAAGAAAAGGAATAACGCCAGTGTAACCCTCTGGGAGATAAAGCAGGTGCAGGTGCTGCTTCGGGGTTATTGCTTTACCACCGGTCTCCCAACCTAGAGAGAAAATAAACAATAGTAGAGTGGTGTAGGGTCCGACAGAGGACTCGCCCAGATCATAATCATGTTTTACTCGCGAACAAGAGTGTCCGATCATAATCATGTTTTACTCGAGAACAAGAGTCTGTCCACCTAGACTCTACATGCATTGTTAGAAGAGAACACTAAGATTGAGCTGGTTTTGGAGGATTTTAATAAAATTTCACTTAGATCTACTCTGCGTATGAACTTGTTGAAAAGGAAGTGATCCAGGTGATGTGCTGGCTTGAGTGTGGATGACTTCATGTGAACCTTCTGAAGGAAGTTTAACAAGTGCAGTGTTTTAGTGAAGTGGGTATTACTCTTGACAACTTTGAGAAAGGAAAAGCTCTCTGGAATGATGAGGACTAACAAATAGCAAATTTATCTTTGTGTTTTGTAACTGCACCAGAGAAAAAAAAATCTACAGATATGTGGATTTAAGCAAGTTATTTCATTAACTGTCTATGGAAGAAAGACAAATCCATGATGTGCGCGTTGGGCAAAGATATTGTTTCTGTTTGTGATGAGTTTGTCTAGCTTACTTGACTATGGCCGTAACAAGAGTGGGGATAAAGGTGCCTTGTGGCCTTTTGGCAGAAAGTCACAGGGCCCTGTCTTCTCAGTTTCGCTCTGACTCGATGTCTTGATCAGTTCGTTCAATCCATCCAACTGATTACATGCCATGTCTTGGCTCTTACGCTCCTGTTCTGTGCTATCTTCATGGGAATCATGATTTACTTTGGTGATTTCATCATCATCATTCTTGTCACTTCACCCTCATCGTCATTATTATTGTTTTTGTCATCGTTATTGTCCCAACTCAATTTCAGGAGCTTGCACCGACTTGTCGGGTTAGTTTTGCTGTTGGAATGAGTGGTGATGATTTTTTTTAAAGGGAATCGAGTGAAAGAAGAATTATTGGTCACTAATATGTGGAACATGTGACACACGAGATGTGTAACTTGTGACACACAAGGTGTGTAACGCGCAATACGCTTGTAGCGCGGTGAATGTTCCATGTTGTTGTGGTAACTCGGGGACAGACTTGTTTGGTTTTGTGAAAGGCTTCTCTATATAATACTATGGTACGTGTATGTAGTACGGCCCTGACTGTGGGGCAGGGGCCTGTGTGCTTGTACTGATGTAGCTGATGTAGTGTAGCCCCAGACCTCTTGTAGACACGCCTCGCTGCCTGGTGGTCTGCAGCTAGAACAGTGCTTCTTCACACACACACACACACACACGCACGCCCCTCCACACACACACACACACACACACACACACAAACACACACACACACACACACAAACACGCACAGTTACCCCCACCAACCACACACTCGCACACACAGTTACCCCCACCAACCACACACACACACACACACACACACATGCCTCCACACGTACACCTATGTGAATGCTTCCTTGCTTTGTGGGTGGGAGTCTATGTGGGGCTGAGAGAAAAACAAGTCTGGGACAAGTGGCCTGAAATTTGTGACATTTTTTTTTGTGATGGAGCCTCTTCAGTGGAGGAGTGGCACATGGTTAGAGGGTGAAGAAGCACTGGACTAGAGTCACACGATGGTGTGTTAAACGTATGTTTGTGTGTGTGTATGTGTGTCCACGTGTGGGAATGCGTGGCTGTGCTGCTACTGTAGATGTTGTAAATACTTTGGCCCCCTAGAACTGTGTAAATATACTTGACTCTAGAAATGGCCACCAGCGGAGAATGACGCTGGACCACAGGACCCTCCTTCAAGAATTGTACAAAAACAGATGAAGAAAAGAGATGTATATTTTTTTTTTTGTCATGTGCTTCTTGTTCTGTACATTTTGGGAAGTTTTCTCATGTGTGTTGTAAAAAGAATTGGTTTTTTGTTTTGTACATATAATTTAAACTACATTTTTTAATGATTATTATAATGATTATTATTATAATTATTATTATTACTGTTCTCATTCTGATGATGTTCCCTGTAGAGCAGGGGAATGTTATTTCCTCATCTATACTCTGCTGATGTGCATAAACGTAAATTGCGGTAATGTCACGTATATGCTCTGAATATACTTTGTATGTTTTTGGAAAAAAATTATTTGGTCCTGTTATTTTTGTACATGTAAGTTGCAGGTTGTCCCTGTATTTTGCTGTCATTTGTGATAAAAGATTTCATCAACTGACTGATCTAGCCCTCACCTCTCCTCCTATGTTAGGGAACAGTTTCCTCTTGTTGTCGTCCTTCGGCGTACAAATGTCATTTTTATCTGTCGTGACCCAAACTTTCAGCGGTTTGCTAAAGGTTCAAGAAATTAAATTCATCTTTTTTTTTCCTTCTAATTTTTAATTTTTTTCTTTTTTGGTCGTCTTAAAGTCTTATAGCTTGTTCTTTGCCTTTGTTTTTTGCTTATAAAAGATCTTTAAGCTTTTTGGTGAATGGTACAAAAAAAAATTTCTTTCCCTTTGGCTCCATGTCTTTCTTTCATTGAGGTCTGTCAAGCATCTGATGGCTTTGTTCTTCATAACTTCTTCATATGTTCACTCCCTACCTACCTGTTCTCAATCATAACCACAGTTTAACATCCATGTGATTTTTGACATTATGAGACAAAACAGTAAAAGAAATGAAACTAACATGTCCCGTGTCTGTCTTTCATTTTGGTGTGCAGATTGTCTCTAGAATGTAAGCGTTTCTCCCGTCAAACAGCTACCTGCTACTGGAAATGCTTTGTGTTATCATTAGACCACTGCTGGAAGTGTGAAAAAAACTTCCATTGTGTCAACCTACTTCACAGAAATAGTTCTCCTTCTGCCCAATTGCCTGGTTACAGTTGAAGAAGTTTTTTATTGAACTTTGGAAAAGCAATGGGCCTGTGGTGTTATTATAAGGTTTGGTTTCATTGACATGAATGAGACGGACGACATAGGCAAGGGTTATAGTTGATCGCCTTAGAGTAGCTGGTGGTGCTTTTTTTAAAAAGGAAAAGCAGATTCTAAATTTATACTTTTTCTCCCAGTACCAAATTAATACTTTGGGTGGGCTTTTCCTTTCTCATTGTCAAGTTAATATCTCTGCAATTTTGTCCTGCTTTAAAAAAAAGGATCAAAAGAAAAAGGTCTAACTTGACAAATCTGGTATGATAGTAAAAGTGGATGGTTGGATATAAAAAGATAATAAAAGAATTATTTTGTCACAGAGGGTGTAACTTCTGTGATAATTAAACATAAGGGACGAGAATTGTACTAAGTCTAAGGGAACGGGATGGGATGGGGTTGGGGGTGTTTTGTAAGTTTTAAGATGATTAGGTAGTTGTTTCACTGACAGTGGCAGAGTGGAGGTGACACATTGCTCTAGGAATAGCTTATCTCTCTCCCTGTAGTGACTGAACCAAGAACAATCTGGACACATTGCACGATTCACAGCTCATGTGCTCTTGAAGGCAGCAAAACTTGTGTGTGTTGGTAGTGGGTGGTGTGCCGTGTGTGATGTGCTCTTTGTGTTGTTATGAATGTGTTTGTGTACGTCATTAGCGTATGATGTGCTGCTTGTAAGTCTGTTAGCTATCTCATCTTAGCTCACGTGTGTGGAGGTCGTTTTCTGTACATAGTGAACATGGACATCTGGGAGTGACAATGAATGTGCAAGCAGAGGATGGGAACTTGTGGGAGTTGAAGTAAATGTGCAAGCCAGTTTCTCGTAGTGAACAATTGATGTAGATGTCTCTCGCTGGTCTTCAGGACCGCACCCTGTGTTTCTCAGGTATATCTCATAGACATGTGTGTATGTATATATAAATATATAAATAAATAATATAATATATTGTTGTAGATTGGTACCTTGCTGCAGTGCTCCCATACGGAGAGAAATACAAAAATTTCTGCTTTCTCATTGTCTTGTGTCATTGGGAATATCTCTCCTAGCCTGACTTCAAACAGAATTAAATAGATGCATCTAATCTCAAGATAAAAAGTGTGGGTGGGATAAAATTAGATGATAAAGAATTGAAATATTCTTTTTTTAAAGTATAGTCCCTGGAAATTGTGGATAGATTTCATATAGTTCAGGTATGATTACGGTGAGTGTGTTTCTCTGCCAAGCTCTATAGAAGTATTGTGCTGTGTGTGTGTGTGTGTGTGTCCTTCTTGATAGTGGTTGTGCTGCAGCAAGGTTTTGATCTACTCGCCTGTCCTTAACTCAAAATTTCTCATTGTTGTCGTCGTTATTGTCGTTGCTGCTCTGTGGGCTCTCGTGTGTACATTGCCGGCCCAGAGGGAGGAACACATTCAGTCCACAACAACAACTGTGACAGCTGTTTTTGCAGTTCACAATTTTCAAGTCAATTCTTCATGCGTTTGATAAGTTATCGAGTTGAATACCTGTATACTTTCCTTTGAGGTTTACATTTGTACACACACGAAGCATTTGAAGTTGAAAAGTGAAAAATTTACTTTCTCTCTTGATTAGAATGAATTTGTGTGGTTTCAAGGACAGGACTGCTGAACTGAAATATTTTACCAGTTTTTCATCTTTCAGTTTTGGGGACTGAATTGTTTTGTACCCTTTAGGGCGGTGTCATGGAAAGGAGAGGTGAAAAAAAATTCCCATTAACTGGTCAGTCAGTGGATGATGATGCGTAGGGCATGTGTTCAGGTAGTGTGTAGAGACAGACACTGGTGTGTTGAGTGAAACGCAGGGGTGTATAGATAGAAACTGTTGTGTCTTGATGGATGGGATTTGTTGCTGGAGGCTGTGTGCTCTGGTTGTAAGGACACGCAGGAAAGTGGAGGAAGAGGCTGTAGAGGTTGGGGTGTTCGTTGACCTATTCACCTGTTTATGTGGCCAGTTACTGGCGGAGCTGTGTTTTTTCTTTCTTTCCTTCATACTTCATAATTCTTATAATAAGATTTGAACATTTATGTTCAGTTTTCTGCTTGCTTGTCTTTCTTTCCGATCCTTTTGCGAGCTACGGTATTCACTTTTTTCTGTTTTGAAGCCCACCTTATAAATGATTTTAATTGTGTCAATGGGGGCGTAAAAAATATATACATTAAAAAGAAAAAGATTTTTTCTTCTGTTGTCTGTGACTGTATAGTGTGTGTTTGTGAGTGTTCTGCTTGTCTTCTCAACTATCTTTGTCTATCTGTCTGTGTTTCTCCACTATGGCCATACAAATAAGACATACTGACGTAGGGGGTTCCCCAGCCAGGTCGGTTCCCACAACTGTTCATAGCTTCTTAAAGTAAGGAGGTTGAACTAACAAGTTGGCAGAGACAAACTTTGGGCCACTCTCACCTGTCCTGGTCAGCCGACCTACCACCGCTGTTTCGGACAGTTCCACGCATGTGAACACAAGAATAACCGACTGACCCTCTGGGTCGTCTGCTGTTGTTGTTCTGTGTGTTGCACAGAATGGAAACTGCTGTGACTGTAGCTCCCTCATGCATGGGCTACGGCCAGCAAATTAGTGATGTCGTCAGATGACCGCTAGATGGCCGCTAGTTGACCCCAGTTGGGGGGGGGGGGGGGGGGGAGACAGATGGGTTAAGCTTAGCTTCTTGTCCGTTACGGTCATGCTGCACACTTCAGGGAATATATACAATAGTTATAGGTTAGTCAGATTTTCTACTCTCTTTAGTGCACTTGTGTTTAGTTGACGAAGTGGTGTGAGGGACCTTTTCTGAGGACAGTTGAGATTGTCTACCTCAGCTACCTGCTGTCTTGTCTGTGTCAAGGAGACCGGGTTGGTTCAGTCTGTGAAGAGAATATCGGTCAATCTTCGGCTGTCACACCAGCATCTGCAATGCAATGGTTTCAAAGCTGTTTGTCTTTGCTTTCTGAATACGGGAGCTCAAATCCCAGGTGGGGAAGATAGTTACAATGAGTATATCCGTGCATCTGCTGGGATGTTGGTGTATCCCTCTCAGCCTGACAGCAGGGTGGAAGCAACCTACCCTCTAATGATCTAAATTGTGCTGATCGGTGTGTAAAAAAATATTACAATAATGTAACAGTTACAACTTCCTGTCTATGCTGGGCGACCTTGATTCAGCGAGAGGGAGTGGGGGTCCTGGTTTGTTCACACTCAGGAGTCTCTGGTCTGTGGTCAAATGATTTGGTGTCTCAGCCGTGTACCAGAAAGGCATAGGTTCAGTTCTCAAGTAAGGAAGTCTTTTTTTTTCTTTTCTTTTTTTAAAAAAGAGCGATAACGTATCTCAGTCCTACTGCCGATGTACTGTATCTTACTCTGTCTCAGATTGACGCTGTCTCTAGTAGACGGGGTC